GCTGTAGTTTCAGTTATAAGTTGCTTTCAGCTTTCTAAGTGATTTCTTACCGATTTTATTGGGACGGAGGGAATCACCAGACAAATTGCATTATGATAGATATAACGTATGAGTTGTTAATTAAAAATCCTGGTCGCAACTGACACAGATAACGAGAAAAACTATTGATGGAGGACGAGGTTGCGGTCTTCTCACACAGCGAGAGGAACGATTATTTATTTTATCGCCCCATTCAACAAAGACCCTCAGTCCGATAGGCAGTTAGTGCTCTAGAACAGACCGATACAGACCGATAGCGTAACCCAAATAGCCCATGAAAACAGAATCTATTATTTGTTTTCAGGTGGTTACCTGGCTATCTCGTCTGGTGATTGGGTTACGTTACCTTTTATCAACAAACACAAGACACTCTCAAGTGTGTATAAAATAGGCGTGCTGATAATGCCGATTATTGGTTCGTGGATAGAACACTTAATTATTCTGGAACTGCTACCCTAGCAACAACGATAAAACGTTAAACCACGGTTTAATTATATGCCTGTAGTATGACATGACAACATAGCACACATCAAAATAAGCTATATTCTTCTTCTTCTGCACACTGATAAGAGGTACCACTGTTTTCCCGAATAAAAGGGAAGCAGGCATAAGCCAGAATGTGTGTCTCTGCGTGTATACGGGTAGGAACCGAAAGCGTAAGTTGGCTAATTTGTATTAGATTTAGCCTTAGGTCGTTTTGTTTAGATGCATATTGAAATGTGGCCAAATGTTGCTCGTTCAGGATAACGAAGTTTGTGTTGTCGATTCATATGATATAAAAGGAATATCCTGCTAAAGTAATCAGTATTGGCCGTTTTATAAATGTTATGATTACTTGAAATTTAATGAAAATTTTGAGCGAACGATGGTACCGACTGTTGAAATAAATATGTCATAATGATCCAGCGATCATTGTTCACATAACAAGTAAGTAAATACGTTAATTAATTATATAAGTAAGTTACTCAGTTATTAGATTTCACACGTCTGAGTTTAGACTGTGTGCCAAACAAATCGCGGTACAATAATCTTTATAAAAAGTATAACGTTCCACGATTTGCATGTGGGCCGAATACTGCCAGGTTTCCCAGGCCAAAGCAGGTGAATTTTCCCGAGGAATTCACAATGAAAGCCTTCGGCTAGCCAAAGCGTGACCCTCAAGGTGGCGAGGCGGTGAGCGGAAACCGCAATCCATTGGGAGCCGATGTTCAGTTCATCGGATCATACGCCCTTCGGACTGGGCCAAAGGTCCAAATTGTCCAATACACCTTGATGCCCAATCGAGCCGGTGACCACTGCCACAACCGGGAAGGTGTGGGTGTGGTTCTTACGCCTCCTCTTCGTTAGTTTGGAATCAGGGTTTTTGGCCAACTCCCCTAGGTGAACTGTTGCGAGATACTACTCACTTGTGAGTAGTCGGTAACTTTCAATGATTAAAAATAGAACAAGACCATCAAGGACCAAGTAATATATTTGGGAAGAATAAACACTGCCTGTTATACCCATTGCCCCATGTGTCGCGATGTGCTGCGAAGGCATGTTTCTGATGAGCTTTTCGTGTTATGCATGCACAATTAGTGACCCTCAATCTGTATTCTGCAATAAAGAGTTCTCCTCGACCAGCACCGCCTTTTCGGAATATAACAAACTACCAGTGGTCCACCAACCCGGTTATAGCCCCGGATGTTGGCATTGTGTACTCTCACTTTGGTGGGAAAAAACCTCCGCACGAGAAGGTAGTGAGCAGGCTTTCCTCAGCAGAGGCTGTTTGAGAAGCTTGTTCTTATGGGAGCATTTCGCGATGTGCAAGAGAAGGGTGACCAGTCACAACCCTAGACACTCACCCTGGACCATAATGAGGATTTTGGAGGCTCCTGAAGTCGTTGAAATCGAATGATTGGATTGAACAGATCGACTCTTCCGATTAGGAATACACTATGCTCTCTATTTTGCAAAGGGATGGTAATGTTTGAATCTGCTATGACCTGTAGGCTTTGAATAAAAAGATTATCACCCACGAATTCTTCATCCCTTCATGTGAAGAACTTTTTGTTTAAATGGCAGAGACGAGGATGTTCACACAGTAGGATCTACAACGCGCCTTCTTTCAGATGCCCCTAACGGATGACTGCAAGCACCTCACGGCTTTTCTAACATCGGATAGTTTATATCAGTGCAAGGTACTCCCTATGGGACTGAGCTCTGCACCCGCTGAGTGGCAAAAGTTAGTTATCCAGGCATTCGCTGAGATGCCCGGCACTGTGATTCATCTTGATGATATTTGTGTTTTTGACTGTATGCAAAAACAACATGACAACCGACTCAAGTTGTCCTGCAAAGGCTTCAAGAACTTACTCAATGTGTAATTGTTTGTTGCCTCTGAGTTGCAGTTTATCGGCTATACCTTGGCTCATGAAGGCATAAGGCCGAGTGAAGAAAACACGACTGCTTTTTATCCATCCAGCTTCATAAATTACAAAAAGCGTTTGAACTCATACCGGGATATCTACAAAAGGCTGTCTAAATAGTTGAATACTGGGTGCCATGTACGGACCAAAACCACATCATTCAGAAAGGACCCTCTGTATTATCGGCGCCGCTCAGAATTGTGAAAGTTTTGGGACCGGGAACGTACCTACTTGAGAATGGCCGAAAAGTTAAAGCCAGAAAACTCTACAAAATTCCAGTGTCACTTGGTCAGCAGTAAAGCTGCCAAACGAACAACACAGCAATAGTTTCTGTTGTAAGATCAAACAACCCAGAAAATCCACACGAAATCCCAAATAAGTTGATTGCTACCTATTATAAGTGCCAATAAAAGGAATGAGCTGATGCATGGCCTAATGCATTTGTTAGGTAACTCTTGTATAAATTGCTTCCATTGAATGCGCAATATAAAGGATTGATGCACAAAAACATATGCACGTAAAGACATACGAACATTCACGCACATGATAAGGACACTCCTCACATGGGATTACATTGACTTTTCAGGCTACGCAACGCGTTGGCGTGTTTTGATTGTCTGCCTGCTAATGATTTGTATGGCCAGTACCAGTAGGTGATATAGTTTTACTGTTGTACATGAATTACGGTGCTTCAAATTTGTGCCTAATTAAAGAACTTATTTCCATGCATATTAATAGTTCTATTGCGTTCACTAATGTTAACTTTTTGAAATTGCTGTTTCATATTTTTTATTATATGACACGTTGTGGTTATGTGGTTGCTAAAACCCCGCTCCTCTGGGTGCACAAGGGGGTTTCTTGACTTGATTTAACTGACGTCCGTCGTGTGATGCTACAATAGAATTCATGAGCCACGCCCCAAATGGCTGCAATATGACGCCGGTCGATCATACTCGATCAATATAAGCATCATTGCTGACCAGATTCAAATCCAGTTTGTGTGACGCTTGTAGATTAAATTTCATTATTATTGTTATTGTCATTATTATTATTATTATTATTAATATTATTATTATTATTGTTATGGCCACAGAAGCATCTACGAAAACGCTACCCTTCAAGTACTGAAAAATCAAAATGACCAGGTTGACGATAAATCCAGAGCGGAATGGAATATCTCTAACCGAATGCCTAAAGGTGAGCAAAATTTGTGGGATACTCTAATTTTGCGATTCGATTTCAGGATGGGAACACCAAAGTGGTCGTTCCTGATGTGGTGATTACAAATACCAGCACCAATCAGAACATATGGAAATGTTTGATAGGAAATTTTTTACGAGCTAAATGTTTCTGGAGCGTGAATCAAATTAAGCCTTAGCAATACGCGGTTATACTTGCGGGAGATCCTTCCGATGTACTGTCTGCGAGAGAATGACCAATGCAGTACATGGAGAAATGCATTTAAACTGCAAAAATGTCGGTGCACATATGGTTCAAAATGTATCTTTATTTACATGAAAGTGCTAAATTATGAAAACCTTTGGATAAAACTCGGTTAACTTTTTCATTGGATATTTTTTCTTTGATTTTTGCCAACCACCATCTCAATCCACTCGTGTAATGTGAGCGGTGAATCACAAAATTGGCAGTACCGCTATATATTTCCCCTTCTTACTTAACTAGCTTTGTGAATAAGATCCTAATACTCACTCAGTTATCAAATATTTCCGCACGTTCTGATTATTGCTGGCTTCGGTAATTACCATATTAAGAACGACCAGTTTGGTGTTCCCGTTGTGAAACTGAATTGAGAAATTGCAGTGTCCCTGCACGTTTGCATACTCTACGGTATTCCGTTAACCTTATCCCTAGTGTGCGTTTAACCGGGATTGATCAACGATTTTCTCCAATTTGAAGTCAAAGTGATGTGCTTGATCTTCATGAAGGGAAATCACCGATAGTGGATCATGTCTTCTGAATATCGATTGATGTTCGCGGATCCTTGTTGATAGTTCTCTTCCGATTTGTCCGATGTAATGTTTTGGGTGGTTCTTGCCGTTTATTCTGTAGGTAACATTGATTCTGTCTTTTTCCACTGTTCTCTCCTTTGGTTTTAAAATAATTCTCCGTAGACAGGTGGTCGGTTTTTGGGCGACTTGGATTCCTCATGATCTGACCAGGATTGCTGTCATTTCCGAAACGTCCTGAATGCACGGCAGGGTCATTCTTGTTCTCGATTCTCCGTCTGTTGTTTGTTTCTTTATTTGAGTCAGAGTTCTTTTGATAAAGTTGATGACGGGTGTGGCTGTTGCAGGCAAATACTCTGAAGAAGTGTCATTCTTCTTGAGCATGTTTGGATTCTTCCAAACAGGGTCTTGATACGGCACCTTTTGCGGCTGTGTGAATTTTGAAGTTCAGAATTTGATCCGAATGCGTTGCTTTGCGGTAAACCGTTGTCTCTAGGTTTCTGGTGTTCTGATGATCAAGATGTCCAAGAATGTCAGTTTAATATCATTCGTCGCCTCCATTGTGAATTTGATGCCACTGAATATGTTATTGATGATTTTGTGTGATCTGTCTGACTCCAACTTCTTCAAGATTACGAGTGTGTCGTCGACGTATCGGAGCAACAGTTTTGGCATTTTTCTTGGTAGTACTTTTTTCCACCTTCTGCATTACGGCTTCTGCCATGAATCCAAACATTGTTGATCCCTCTGGTGTTCCTTTCGGCTGTTTGTCGATTTCGCCCTCAATTTTGAAGTACTTCTGCATGTATTGTTCCACAAGTTCGCAGATGGCAACTGGTTTCATTGGTTGGTTTGGTACGTGCTCGGATATCAACTCATGCAACGTGGATCTTACCAGATCCAAATTGATCGAAGTGAAAAAAGTGGTGATGTCGAAGGAGACCATTATTTCGTCTTCTTGGATTTTGACAGTTTTGAGCTTGTCCAAGAACTGCCTTGAGTTAACCACATTATGCTCGTGTCAGCCGTTTCCATAATTTTTTGCTAACTTGTATGCGACTAGTCCTGGAAGGGAGACAAGTGGCCTCAAAGGAATTCCTTCCTGGCATACCTTCGGCAGTGCGTGGAATTAAGCAATAGGGGAGTTTTGGGCTGTCATTCTCCAGTGCTCCGCTTCGGTTATTTGATGCAGTTCTTTCAGTCGTTTCAATGTGGTTTTGATTTTTTATCTAGTTTTGCGGTGGGATCCGTTTCGATTTGGCTGTAGGCATTTGCTTCTCGGAGTAATTCTTTAGCCTTTTAATGTAGTCAGTTTTACCCACGATCATGGTAACTCCTCCATTATCTGATACGAGGATGACGATATTTTGTATCCATCTTCAGTGTTTCAAGTGCTTTGTCCCTGCGATTTGATAACATATTGGGTTTCTCTTATTACAGCTGGAACGACTGATTGTTTTTTTGCATTCTCATGTATCATGGATGATTTGAAATTTTGTTGCAGTTCTGCCAAGTATTCCTTGTTTGTGATATGTTTGAGACCACTGACGAGAACTCGTTTTTCACCTTGTGTGATCACACCGTTGGAGTGATTGCGGACCCAGTTTTCGTTTTCATCGGTTCTGTGCTTCTTTATTGCGTCGTCCAACTGTTTCATCTGTCGTCTGCTCCGTACCATTCGAAAGTTTTCCTGTTCTTCTGTAACTTCCTGGACTACTATGAACTGCTACTACTACATCCGAATCATGCATCTTCCAAATAAATCTGCGATCCCCCAGGGCTCCGAATAATTTATTGATCTGTGATGTATAGTCAGTGAATGAAAAGTGCTTCTCGGGCATTCGAAAAGGAAAAGTAGCCAGAGTTATCTCATTCAGTTCTGAATGTATGGTCGAACTTTTCATTTTGATTTTTCAGTACTTGAAGGGTAGCGTTTTCGTAGGTGCTTCTGTGGCCATAATACAGATGAAATTTAATTTGCAAGCGTCACACAAACTGGATTTGATTCTGGTCAGCAATGATGCTTATATTGATCGAGTATGATCGACCGGTGTCTTATTGCAGCTGCTTGAGGAGTAGCTCGTGAATCCTATTGCAGCATCAAGGAATGACTCAAGCGCTGAGCTCGCATGATCCATGATTGTCCGTGGAGCATGGTTCGATATGACTTTCCGGGAAAGGTTGACTAACACCCACATACCCGTGCTAACAAGGTAAACAATCAAAATGTCATAGGAATCGGGGTTTTGTAACAGAGACATCTCTCACAACCGTCTCCCTGGTACCTCAACAGTCTATCCTGCATGTTGGTCATCAAGACATTGCTGAGAGGTTTGAAAAATACATGAGTCCCGAAGCTCCGATGAGGCCAAGAAGGCAGCTTAAATTGATACCCGCATATCTGGAAATGTTACTGGGACCACTTGTTTTGCAAAAATTATAGTTGCTCGCCTGTTTGCTTTTCTCTTGCTTCCCGGCCTATGCATTGGTCTACTCACTCATCCACTCACTCACTCACCCAATCACTTATACACCCACTTCCTTGATAACTTACTGCCTCCGAAAGCCTCACTATGGTCACCCCTTGCAACTCGCGAAATGCTCCCATAAGAACAAGCTTCTCAAACAGCCTCTGCTGAGGAAAGCCTGCT